GCTTTTTGGGGGGCAGTAGATAAGATCTGCTATTATGAAAGAATGTTACATCATATGAAGATGCAAGGAGACAATTCTGTCAATGCAACCCTTCTGTCCATACAATAAAACCTTGTGTCTGTGTTTCAGCACAGATATTTCAATCAAATGTACGGTCACAGCACAACTCTGTATGTGACCATCTTGAGTGGTGTGCGGTAGCATGTTACTGGGCATGAGCCTAAGAAATATTTCAGCCAGAATACAGTGGGTTTTTTCCTCTGAACTTCCATTTTTTTCACACATTCTTTGTCTCTTTCCTGACCTCCACTAGCTTGCATTATCTTTCAGAAATTTCTGCCGAGTAGCACAAACAGAAAACACCTTTGCTGTGTCATTATTAAGAGGACTTCTTAACACAGTGCTAGGTAACTATTGGGGCACAACCCAATAATGGGGAACATCTGGAAAGAATAAGGTTAATGTCAGTTCTGTGCCACATCAGCTGCTCCACTAAAGTACCAATCACCTGAGTCTTTTCTAGACAAGTGTCCAAGACCATGAACAAAGGGCAGTGAAGAATTTCTGAAGATTTACTAAAGGTCCTTGCCAGCATTGTTATTAGTCCATAAATGTGACTCTGCTGTGTGGCTCTAAAGGAAGAGTGTGGATGAAGCTACATGACACTAGTGGCCTCTTCCCTGAAGCATGATCTTCAGTTCATAGCAGAAAAGGGAGAGTTCATGGTCATCAAGTAGGTCCAGGAAGCAACAACAGTTGCAATGTTTTGAACTGGAGGGGAATATGGATCAGCATGCTTAGGATTTATTTTTTATGCATGTGGTGCGCTACCTCTTGTAATCAACTTTTATGAGAGCTATAAAGAGTTTGAGATCTGCTGTTTATACACAAGTCCATTGCTACTTAGATTTTTCAACTTCATTAATGACCAATGAAAATGGTGGAGCATCCACAATTTCTCTGGTCAATCTGTTCCGGTGTCTCACCACCCTTATAAAAATTTCTGTCTTATGTTCCATCTGAATTAGGTTCAATCAAACCTCTCTCAGGTTAAAACTGTTATTCCTTGTCCTGACACTACAGGCCTTGGCAAAATGTGTCTCTACATCTGTCTTATAAGCCCTGGTTACATATTGAAAGGCTGTGGACAACATTCTGGTATACTTGTTGACAGATATCAACTCTGGGTTCGTAACACTGAAATAGCAGCAGGGGAGCAGAAAAGCTTAAATTTGGCATTGGCAACAAGCCTAGCTTTACAGGAATGGGCACCAGGAGATCCAAAATTCTTCTGGACCCATGTGAAGTACAGTGCCATAGCACCAGTTCGGCTGAACAGTCTCACATCAGAAGTCCTCAGTAAAGCTTTAGGACTTTTCCAAGTTCCCACCATGGCAATCTTTCCTGCTTGTTGCTGTGAACTTCAAGAAGTGGCACTGATTCTACTTCTCATTCCTCTAACATGTTGCACCACATGGGCAAGAAGAATCAGAAAAGAAAAAGAAGGAACAGGAGTTATGGGTCACAAATAGTTACCTATGGATACGACTTGAATTCTCCTCCTATATATTGCATTTTTATAGATCATGCTTTATTTTGTTTATCTGTATTTTGTTCTGCCTTACTCAGATTAATTAACATCTTTCCCTTTTTTTGTGTGTGTGCTCTTTTCAGAGACCCTTATTCAAGGAGTTTTTGGGTATGTTTTGTGGCTGGCTGCTCTGATTATATCCTTCAGTTACTTGTGTTGTAGAAACTCACGGCATCATGTATTACTGAAATTGTTGTGCTGCCCACACAACTGTAATGAAAGAGGGACCCATTAAAAAGATTTTACTGAGTTACGGTAATGAAGGAAGCAGCCTACGCAAGCCACTGAATTGATTTTCTCCCAGTCTAAAATAGCTAACAGAGGAAGACATGCAGTTTGGTGTGCTGATTACCAGGCGAATCAATACCTGGGCAAGTTACAGGCCAGTGAAGAAGGAACCTTCGTAATAGTTTTGCTTGTACAGTCATGCTGTTAGGATTAATCCTAAGTAATGATCTCTATAGACCATTATATAGATAGATGTTTGAATATGGACATCTTTCACCTAGTCAGGAAACTCATTAGGGGCAGCTGAGTGGCTGGGTGCTTAGTGTACTGAAAACCTTGGGAGGAGAAAGCTTTTCCCTGCCTGTTTTACTGATTCAGCAGTAGTTGTAGCTTTACATCAAAGTTGACGGGAAAATAAGGTAATTTTATATTTTACTCAACCTGTGATTCACTGGAAAGGTAAAATACCAAGGGGGTTTGAACTTATTTCTCTTGTGTATTGTCAGATTGCCCTGCCCATCTGAGATCCTCAGAAAGTGGAGAAAAAGATGAAATAGGAAATCTCTTAGTGATGTTGCCAAAAAATATTTAACTTTATGCAGGATTTTAGGGTCAAAGAAAGCAGCTAAGGAAATATGAACATAGGACAAGGGGGTCTGAATTCTCCCTCATTTTCTGCTGAATAAGGTTGAGTACTCAGTGTAAGAGGGAAGCTAAAAGGATCAAGTTCTGCTGTACTCCTGAAGGTGTGCACTGGAGATGGCTTATCTCAAATGTTATAAAAAGGTATTCTGTAAAAAGTAGCAGATGTGAGCCTAAGGGATGGCAAAGCCCAGGAATGAGGAGGGAAAGATGTGTTCTGCCTGCCTACTGAGACAGGGGAGAATCAAATAAACAGATGGATGATAATTATTACACTTTTTAAGGCACCTTATTGCATTGGCTGTCATTAGGAGCTGGGCTAAGAAATCGACTTTAGTGTTTTCATACCTCCTTATAAAGGGGAAGAGCCATAAACACTATTTAAACAACTAAACAATGAAAACAATATGGGATTTCTCCTGGTTCTTTGGATCAGCATTTCTAACTTGAAATACAGACTGCAGAATTATTATCAAATGAGGACTTTACTAGCCCGAACAGACTCAAAAGCAAATGAGCACTGAGGGGGGAAAAAAAAAATTGCAAGTAGATGTGTGAGAAATATTACCAGTGCATAGGAATTAATTCAAATGAAATAATGCAAACCATCAAAAGGTAGTAGACAAATGAATTTCAGCTTTGATCACATGCTTTGCAAACGCTATCCTAATTGTGATTATTGGGATGATAATGATGTGGGCTTTAACATGTGCTTTTCTGTGGAATAAATGATTGACTCAGTTGTGGTTTTACAATAATTTCAAGATGTTGTGGTTTGTTTTGAAAGGAGAAAATTATGTGAACACTGTGATTGTTTAGAAAGATAGGCAAAGCTGAACCAAGTGTTTTGCAGTTAATACTAATTTCCTGGAGTCCCCAAGTCAATAGTTTACTTAAGAAATTTACAAACAAGAAGGGGGCAGGCGAGGAAATAGCAGTTTCATAACTTACCATCAGAACCTGATATAACATTTTGTGTGTGCCATCCCAGGTTTCTCTGAGGTAACAGAAGCAGCAAGTGCAGAGCTCTGAGAAGGGGATTATTGCTGTAAAGGGCACTGGGGAAGCCGCCTCCTCCCTGCTCCTGGAGAACTGGAAATACAGAAACATTTTTCATCAGGTTTTAAATATAATGCTGAATATAATGCTAAATATGATGAGTCTCTTGAACCAAGGAACAAGCGCCAGGACAAGAGGGAATGGCCTCAAGCTGCCCAGGGCAGGGTCAGGCTGGCTCTGAGGAAGGATTTCTTTGCAGAAGGGGCTGTTGGGCGTTGGAATGGGCTGCCCAGGGCAGGGGGGGAGTCCCCATCCCTGGAGGGGTTGAAGAGTCGGGCTGACCCAGCGCTGAGGGATCTGGGGGAGTTGGGAACGGTCAGTGTGAGGGTCATGGTTGGACTGGAGGAGCTTCAAGGGCTTTTCCAACCCAGATGATTCTGGGATTCTGTGACTGAGTTCTTAAGAGATTAGTATGTGCTTTTTTTGAATAAAAAATTGGGCATAAGAATGTGTATGACTTCTTGCTTCAGCTAAATGGGTTCATGGACTGTAACATCTAAAGTAAGCCGCAGAGTGGTATTTTTTCTGCTTAACAGCGGGTTAATCAGGGTTGTGTTTTACGTGAAGTTTTCCCTGTCAGAGCTCAGAAAGCCTGTCCTGGGCACAGAACGAGCCAGCCGAGAGAAAACCTGAGCGGTCGGATGGTCCTTCCCTGCGGTTCCTGCTGCGCTTTGTGCACTCGGATTGCAGGGGGCTGCCGGGGCCGGGGAGGAGAAACTGGGGAGGGAAGAGCCAGAGCAGCTGGAGCCTGTGCAGGAGCTCTGCCTGCAGCCCGGCACTTTCCCTCCTTCCCCCCAAAACCTCTGCGCCGGCCTCCCGGGGCTGGGACGGGGACAAGGAGGAGGGCGGGGGCCGGGCTGCGGCGCGTCCCGCACTTACATGCCCTGGGGACAGCGGGGTGCTGGGGCTGCCGAGCGCGGGGGGGTGAAGATGAGGATGAGGATGGCACCGCCGCGGGGCGTTGCGGAGGTGCGTGAAGAGC